CATCTTTTCTTAAGGACATAAATAACAAATTTTTTAAAATTAGAACTTGAACGATACCAACATAGGGCGTCCATTTTTTTAAATAATGTCAACAAAATGTTTGACAGTTGTTGACAAGGTGGAGGGGGGTATATTAATTGACGTCAACAATCATATTTTCTCTATTAAAATATTAATCTTAAACATTGACTTGTTATTACATTATTTTTAAAAGTGTAAATAGTCATAATTTTTAGGCTTTTAACAATATAATATTTATTTAATGTGTAAATGTCTGTGCACTGCAGACGGCTGGTCAGAATGTTAGCACATTTTGTTAGTGCAAGAGAAGTCAAATATTGGCCATTCTTCGCATGAATATTCTGCTTGTCGCAAATGACTAAGGCGGTATTTTTGCGATCATGTTGCTGGTAAGGTTCAAGTATCATGTGCAGTCAAGATGAAGGATATTGATAGAGTAAGCATATGATATTTTGAGAATTAGGGGAAAGTAAAGTTAGTAACAATAATAACATCGGTGCTTGAACGGATTTGCAAAATCTGTAACAATTATTTTGCATCACACGTCATGCTGAAATAGCATGTTCAACAGCACCGACAAGGCACTATTGGGCATGTGCATAAGAATTTACCACCTGCTCCTAAACAAAACGGATTCGACCAATGCGAAAAGCTGCCAGGAGAGAGAGAAAGCTTATGGCAATTATTGCATACCCGTTCTTAGGCATACGCTGACTACGCATCCGCGTAGGGCCCCAAACGTGAGGGGGCCCCCGTGACGGGGGCGATCTCCTTCCTCAAAATAAGAAAATAAATGCCACCAGAGCCATGCTTAGGCCCCACTACCACCTGCATGTCCATCTATTTCAGAAGTACACATTTTCTCTAGTGGCGGAATTGTTAATATGGTTAGTGGTTACACGCGAGCAAAGAGGAAACATTGATGAAGGCAGATTGGAGGTGCCGCAGTGGTGGGTGGTGTTTTCTCCTCAGCTCGAGGGAGCTCCACCCCCGGACCCCCCCCCCTTTCCGGGGCCCCCAACCTACGTTCCATGCGAGGGCCCCCAAACACCTAAGAACGGCTCTGATTATTGCTCACACCGACAATACTTCTATTTTAAGTGCTGAAAACGTAATATGAGAATGATGTTGACTTGTCTGGTAGCCTATATCAGTTATGCAAGATGAAAATGATAAATCAGCTAATATTGCCAATTGTTGAGATAGAGCAATATCTGGCTACTCCATGGGAAGAGGATAGCAACTAGAAGCTACCGTATTTTCCGGCGTTTAAGACGACCCCCCTAACTTTCCAGTTAAAATATAAATATAGGGTTTAGGCTATAGGCCTACTCGCCGTATAAGACTACCCCTCTTCCAACGCACACCAAATAAAAATTAAACATCAGGAAACATGTTTTCAAAATCCAAAAGTTTCTGTTCTTTTCCAGATCTCCATACATCTACTTAGTTGAGGTTTTATTCTGAAAATAGGAATTATTTTAAGGAATCCAGCGAAGTTCTCTCATCGACGGCTAGACTTATGAGCTTTTCATCGCTATCCATCAGATCAGCTTCATCCGCCTCTACCTCACAGTTAGCGCATTATATTACATTTATGAGAAAATGGCGACCTCCAAAAGCAGCAGCTGATGAAGATTGGAGGATATTTAATTAAATAGTAGATCCTACCCCTTTCCGGAACGCAATGCTGAGCTTAGCCCACGATTCACCACTTTCAGACCATTTGGAATTAAGCAAGACTTGTCACAAAATAACTTCGCACTGTTAGCTCTAAATAAAGAAAGATTTAGTTGATTACTGCACATCCTGTCATACTTGTACAGTGGTGGGCACGAAGCGATAATAGACTGCGTTTGGTCCTCTGGCAAGACATAATTGGGTCACCAATACTTGCTGACAATCATGTGTGCGTTAACACGGTTCCCAGAAGCTATACCTCTTCGCAATATCAAGACTCCAAACATCGTCAAAGTTTTAACGAAATTTTTACGTACAGTCTGGCCAAGGAACCAACTTTAAGACTTATCAAATTTTTGCTCGCTCGGGAGTTTGTTCTTGTTAATGCGAGCTTGCCAATCGCCTATTATTATTAATTTCATGAATAACCGGGTACTTTACAACTTACGGGATTCTGACGACTTTCTTTCACATTTACACGATAGTGACATTCTCAAAATTGTACAATACAAAAGACCAAACACAAAATAGCTTGTAGAGGTCATTCAAGCCACTAGTTTTTAGTTACATACAAGAATACCCAATAGGTTGCATCTCAATACTGTTCTAAATAGATAATTATTGTATGAAAATATTTTTTTCCTTCTTTTTTTTTTCAAAAGATTCCCGGGAAGACTTTAGCTTTTTTTGAACCTCTGGCCAGTCAGTCGAGACACAGCATATTTTAATGATCCAGGCGACCTTGACCCAACACGCTTCCTGGACGCCTCGCATAAAATTGAAAGTGCTGTGGTGGAACGCTTTATGCCTTACGGAGCTGGCCTGGCCGTAGGAAGTGTCCTGGGGAGCAGTTGGCCAGGATGGAAATATTCATGTTTTTTACCAGGCTTGTGCAGAAATGTAAGATGACCAAAGTGGATGCAGCGGAACCAGTCCTGGATAGCAAATATGGATTAACCCTTAAGCCGATAGATTTTGTTGCAAGATGTTTTTCATGTTAAATTCTGTCCTTGAAATATTAACTACAGCGACACATTTCTATCTTTAAAGAATTTTTTTTATTTAAAATTGTAATATTGAAACAATGTTCAACAACAATTACTCTAGGCTGCAATTTGTAAGGAACATTTTTTCTCACATATCATCAGCATTCTGACTTATATTATTTATAATAATTATTAATACTTACTAATAGTAATATTAAAAAATGCCTTCCAAATGAACAGAAAAAATCTCGTAAGGAATATGGTTTGTAAACATATATAAGGAGTCATTGATTCCCACAGCATTTACTAATAGTGCGCCAAATTGGTCTAATTTACTATTACTAAGTAGTAAATAAGACAAATTTGGCGCACTAATTAGTGCGTCGTAAATTGCTTTTAGTGTGGCCTAATTTACGATTAAACATTTAAAATGGCCATATTTACAATCAAACAAATTCATCTGAGGAAAAAAAATATGTCTCAGAGACTAAGAGACGTGTCCCACATGTCATATGTTTGGGGGAAACTGACTTAAGGCTTAAACTTAAGGGGTAATATCAAAATATTAATATTGTTAATTATAAAAATGATATTATTGATATATGTTTATCAATGTAAAATTTAAAAAATTACAATGTCAATAAAAGTAGTTTTTAGTTACTATTTTAACATTTTGCCTAAATTATTCCATTCTTTAAACCAATCTGGAAAACTTGATTATAATTAAAGTATAGTGTATTCATTATTGTCTCTATTACAACATTTGACAACTTCTGTGAGTTCATGCAGCAAAGCTGTAAAGCGTCAGGCACCTCTGCCTGCCATTGCCGTTACCATTAAATATAATTATAAAAGGTGTTGGGTGGCCAAACTTGTAGACTGGATTTCAATCCCCAGAGAAAGCCTAGACAAGCAAAAAACAACACCAGCACTCCAGAATAGCAACTCTCTAAGAGAAGGTAAACTCTGAAATCAAACCCGGAGATGGAGTGCCATAGGCGGTGTGACATTTATTTCAGGCTTATAATTAAAAACAGTGGACGAAGCTGGACAAGCTTTGGTCCTTTTTATTAATTAACAACAGTAATATGGCCTTTGTCATCTTTGCATACAAAGGATGAACACTAACATGACATTGAATAGATGAAAATTCTGACCATTCCTGCGACATGCAAGGCATAAAGAGCACAGTGAATCACACAATAAAACACTGCTGGTCATCTGCTGCATCCCGGTCTATTTCCAGTCATCTTGACTAAGTCTTGCCATTGGATCAAATAAGAGAACACAAGGTATCACAGCCATATTAGTATAAAAACTCAGATGAGGGGCTACCACAAAAAAAACTAAAGATTGTGCATAATTCATAGAACAATTTCAATGGATAAAACAATTATTTGATTAAATCCCACAATTATATTGTTAATATTAATGTTATGTGCACACAAAATTACTAATTTCAAATCCTTTCCACTGCATCCTGTACTTTTCAGGCATCCTCCCTTTAGGTGAACATTCAAATGAGCTATAACATTATTAATATGCCATTTTAAATCATTTCAGCACAGACTAAATCACAAATATCTAAACTAACAAAGCCACAAATATCTAAACCAACAAAGCCACAAATATCTAAACCAACAAAACCATCTGTTTAGCCCTGATAAAAAGTGCCAGTTTGAAATTCAGTTAAAATAATTTTTTTATTTTAAAAAATCAACATTTTAAGATTTATTTCAGTTTCAGGCTCATGATTAAAAAAAAAACAGTTGACAAATTAGGACAAACTCTGGTGCTTCTATAACATTATGTGGATTTATTATAATTCATTATTCATATAAAACATAACACATATTTAAGAATTTTGTTTAAAAGTCATTATCAAAATGAAAGGGATTATTTCACATTATCATTTTTTAAGTTTTTAAAATGCACAATGGCATGACCATCAATATGGGTGGTCAAGAAATAATAGGGTGGTCAAAAAATAATTGGCTGGTAGATTAATAATCGGCCAGAAATTATGAAAATTTGTTAAGTTTGTCAGCGGGTTTTTTTCTTTCTTAAAACACAATGACAGAAGTTGAAATTTCAAGAAAGCCACACGGTTTCATCCATAAGCATTTGTTGACAGCATGTGTTGACAGCATTTGTTAACAGCCTTTCTCGTACCCTTAACCCATCAACTCATATGCATCAATAGGTAAAAATCTCTTGACCTAACCTCCTCCTCCTCCAAATTTCTAGTATACAATAGGTAAAAATCTCCTGACCTGACCCCTCCCTCGCTCCCCCCATCGGCTAGTATACAATTTACTGATTGGCTCTACAGTAAAAATCAAGCATCTGGTTCTCAATGTACATAAATTTTGGGAATGGCATTTTGTCCAGACTGGACCTGGACATTTGACCAGGAGACATGGCTGTCATGAACTGAAATGGTGGGGGCGGGTGGCTGTAAGTGCTCAGCTCCCCACCTTCATAAACCACCGTCTCCTGCATCCTGGCACTCACAGAATTCCTTTGAGTCGTTATCTCCCACCGGGAGCTTCCTGCATGGCAGGTGACGTGTGTGAGGGCGGGGTAGACATCCTCCGAGCTGGAAGCGTAACATGCCGAGTACAGTCCTTGACATTGGTATCTGGTGACGGCTTTCCACTCGGATGAATCTAAATTATAAGTTCTGCACCAACCTTCACTGTCTAACAGATAGACCATATTTCTGTTGGCAAGGACTTTGACACCTGCAGCCGTGGCACAGAATACCTCATGGGTCTGCAAACTTCTTGTTTCAGCATTGTAAACATGGATGTACTGAATATGAGACAGTTGTCGATACACCATTGTGCTGGCTTTCACTGTTATCAAAATATTCCCATCAACTGTCCACTGTGTTATGGGCAGATCCAATCTATTGTCTTGCACAGAGGAAACACACAAGAAGGTCTTTGATGCTTGATCCATTTCATAGAAATGCTGCTGTGTGCTAAATTCTCCGTTGGCTTGAGCCTCACGGCTCATAGACAGGACAATCAGTTTGTTTCCAACTGCAATAGGTATGATACTTTTCACCGGGCTGTTGTTGAGATGGTGCAAAAAAAGTTGTTTGCCATCGAGGTGAACCCATTTCTTCTCAATGGTGTTGAACTCCAGGGCGAGCTGCTTGGTCAAACTAAGAAAGCACGTTTTGAAGAAAACAAAATTTATTATAGTATAGGTTGCTTAAATCTCTATAGCGTTGATATAATTGTTTTATTTTTTTTTTACTTTTACTTTATGGATCTCAGATTATAATAACATGATAGTATAATAAAATGGTAGAATAAAAACATATTTTCATTATATTAAATGGTTCACAGCCATTTTAAATATGCTTTTTTCCTCTAACACTCTACAACTAACGGGGATCCAGTCTCATGACTTCTGAAGGCCCCCTGCCATGTTTAGGATTTTTACCCTCTGCAATTTACCATTTTCCCCAGACCCACTAGATGTCACTGATTAAAAGTGAAAATTAATATATGAAAATTGTGTAATCTTTCGCAGCTCCCATGTGAGGAAGCCGCAGTAACCTTGGGCAGGGCCATGTTGGGGAAAGAGGCGCTCCTCAATGTATAGAAAAAAGCAAGTAGACAAGTAAGAAAATGATTTCCCCCTACCCCAATGATTTTAGTACTCAAGGGGAATTTCCCCTTTGCCCCTTTTACATTTCCCTGCCCAAGAGCAACACTGCACCCGGATGTGATGCAGCACATATCATGGGAACCACTGGGTTTGCCAAACAGCAGTGAAAACATGGGACACCCTTTTTTTCCTGAGATATCATAACTGTCTATAATTTATTCACAAATTGGTTGGGGGAGGGGGGAGTCAAAAACTTATTGTATGTAAGCTTAGGGGTGGGGTGTCCAAAAAAGTATGCGTGCAACAGTGGCAAGGTAAGTTTGATAATGGGACTTTTTTTGCATACGTACTAATTAGTACTATATGGATGGCCCCTAAGTTAAAAGATTAACCAAGTAATCATAGAACTTGCTAAAATCAGACAATATCTTGTGATGTACAACCAACACATATGATCATTTTAACCAGAGATCACAATTTGAAAAGGTAACACTACAACTACACTGCATAAAATTTTTTAAGTCCTTAATGAAAAGGAAACACCATTTTCTAGCATCAGTACCAGAAGTTTGAATTCTTCAAATGTCAAGATGGCTTGCACATTTACTCACCTGAAGAGATAAAGGCAGTCATTGAGAAAAGTCATCCTCCAAGAATGTTTTTCAAGCATTGCCCCAGAAATAGGAAAATCAAACTGGCATCCCTTGCGCCAGGTTTTCATTTCAATATCGTAGAAGGCCAACTCAAGCTGGGGTGACTTTATCAGTGGTCTAGACTCACCTGTGAAATACAGTCAAAAGTAAGTAGGCTTACTCTAACAGTTGTAGATGCCATTATCAGATCTAAGTTAAAAACACTGACTGTATCCATACGTTGGCCGTGATAGAAATGGAAGATGAAAGTTGTGACAAAAGTTACATTTGTATCTGAAAATTATTGTAAATTAAAATATAGTACTTCATCGCACTGGTTTTGGTTTGATTTCCCAGAAAATTTATCTTAACTGCTAAGACTACAGCCATTATGAGTTACAGATGAATTTAATCACACACTTAATTGGCTGCCGTTTTCCCACTTTATTGGTTGAAGTTGTTTTTTTTTATTCAGGGATTCCAAACCTCCCCCAAGAGTATCTGCCCCAACTTGTGTAACATGGACTTTCCAATCAGCTCTTTACACAAAATAGAGACCCACGTTCAAGCTGTGACAACATAATGGCAGGAACACGACATGTGACGGTTTGAATGAAAATACACCAGACGGTCAAATGAAGGCTGGCAGCCTTCATCTATTTTATTAACAAATAACTGGGGATGAACTCAGAATAATTCCAACCATCACTGCACCAACATTACCCTGTACGTGTTAAGTAACAAACTATCAAATAAAAAGTACATTTTTTTAGTTCATTTTTTTTGAGTGTCACAAACCTGCATCAGTGACCATCAGCTGTGCTGTCATCTCTCTGGACGGAGCTAGAACCACAATTATTTTACTCACTGATGAACCTGGTGTTGGAGTCCTTTTAAGTTCCTGACTTAAGTCTGTTAAAAACACATTATTTCCTGAAGCCATCTCTACTACTGGTAACTGAATTTTGCTACCTTGTTCAAGCTTTTGGTCTAAATGTAAAGTTGAAGAGGTAACAATGGTGGAATCAAGTGAACATGGTTTAATTGCATTTAACCCATCACTGTCATCTTCAGAGAATTCACATGCTGGTTCCCTACTGGCTACATTAGACTCTTCCTTGGGTAAACTTGCTCGCTCTGGGGAGGACGATTCTGCTAACACTGTTATTTCCTCTGTCATATTTCTTTGAGGGTCTTGTCTCAAGGCCACCATTTTACTGAAGCACACGTGACAGTCTTTACCTTTACCACAAACAGACTCCAGTCCGTCTGCAGGAGTTTCATGGTTATGCAAAATCTCCAACCATTTTAAATGACATTGTAAGGCTGACAAGTGTTTGTGGAATAGTTGACTGGAGCTTGACCATTTCTTTGTCAGCTGAATCAGCTGGGCTTGCCATCTGGACACAGTCAGTTGGCCCACCTCATCAAGCAGATGGAACATATTGCTGAACATTTCATCCAAATGACATTCAATGTCACTGGCACAATTCTCATCAACGTCAGACTGCTGCAATCTTGTTAAAGAGTGTTGAGCATTTTTTAACAAAAATTCTACAATCTGGAGAGAATAAAGGGGTACAATTGTATTTTTATAATTTTTTTTTCCTACATAAAGTACAGTTTTTATGCTAGATTTTGTTGTGAGATGATTGTCAATGGCAACATACCTGTTTTTTCAAGGTAATTAACATGATATGATCACATTCACTGTCATAAGGTAATTAAAATGATATGATCACATTCACTGTCACAAGGTAATTAAAATGATATGATCACATTCATTGTCACAGGGTAATTAAAATGATATGATCACATTCACTGTCACAAGGTAATTAACATGATATGATCACATTCACTGTCACAAGGTAATTAAAATGATATGATCACATTCACTGTCACAAGGTAATTAAAATGATATGATCACATTCACTGTCACAAGGTAATTAAAATGATATGATCACATTCACTGTCACAAGGTATTTAAAATGATATGATCACATTCACTGTCACAAGGTAATTAAAATGATATGATCACATTCACTGTCACTAGGTAATTAAAATGATATGATCACATTCACTGTCACAAGGTAATTAAAATGATTGTCACAAGGTAATTAAAATGATATGATCACATTCACTGTCACAAGGTAATTAACATGATATGATCACATTCACTGTCTCAAGGTAATTAACATGATATGATCACATTCACTGTCACTAGGTAATTAAAATGATATGATCACATTCACTGTCTCAAGGTAATTAACATGATATGATCACATTCACTGTCACAAGGTAGTTAACATGATATGATCACATTCACTGTCACAAGGTAATTAACTGGATATGATCACATTTATTGTTACGCGAGGAGGTGGTGACACAGTGAGGTCTTATCAACTTTATTATTTTCTGATGTAACATGCTTCACACAATGGACGCTAAACCCTTTATATTAACCATTCTATATTTTCTAGAAAGGAAATCATAATTTTTGGAATGTGATTGGTGACAAATGACAATGACATGAAAATGTTGACTCACTTGGTGACAAATGACAATGACATGAAATTGTTGACTTACTTGTAGAGGGTTGCAGTGAGAGAAGACGCCAAAACTTATAAAACCATTTATGACTTCCATGTTTGCATCCAGAGTGTCTCGCTGATAAATGAAGTAGTCATGAAAACGAGCACACAACAAACTCCTGATACCATTTAAAAGTCCAGTCTGTAGGTTTGCAAACAAGATGTTCAGTTATGTTAACAATATTTGGTCTGTAGGTTTGCATACAATATGTTCAGTAATGTTAACAATATTTGATACATAGGTTTGCATACAATATGTTCAGTTATGTTAACAATATTTGGTCTATAGGTTTGCATACAAGATGTTCAGTTATGTTAACAATATTTAATATGTAGGTTTGCATACAAGATGTTCAGTTATGTTGAATACTTTGGATCCTTAAGAAAACATTAGTTGTTTTTTTAAAGGCCTTAAAAACACTTTAAATGGAGTTAACACGTTATTAATAAACAGGGCATGCAAAAAATATCTACTGAAATAAAAGACATGTTAGGCAGACAAATATTGATGTCTTTCTTCATTATTCAGCTTTCTGAAAAGGTTAAGAAAAAACCAACCCCTAAAAACAAAGTTTTTCATATAAATCAATTAGCCGTCCAAAGATTTTGCCTTAAAACACAGAAAGACACAAACAAAAGCGAATTTTATATAAAGGATTTAATAACTTGTTTTATAACCTTTATCAAGAGTGATTTGTTTAGAACTTTCATTTGAAAAATCTTTAAAAGTTTAGAACAAAATTAGCAAATATACTGCTTCTATCAATTTTAATGATAATATACAAACATTTTAAAGAATTACTAAAAGATTATAAATAAAGCTCATGAAGCAGTTTGTACTACTGCATATCAAAACCATTTTTGGCTCTGTATTTGTTCCAAATTCAATAAATTTAGTGATATAAAAGATGCTTTAATAGTGTTCATTTTCCTTTTTATACATGCTTGAATTTTCCAACAAAATTTTTTTTTTTTTTAAATTTTTTTTTTACTAAAAGATGAAAATATAAATATTACCGAATTAAGTCTGTACTGCAAAGCTAGTTGAAAATAAGCAATCACATTGTCGAAGGTCAAGGTCTTTTCCATGTATGCTTCTATGCAGAGGCGTACATTTTCACACACTAAATAATCAGCAAATCTCAAAACGCTTTCAATGCAGCTTAGGTCGATATCAATTTCATTGGTGTAAAAACTTCTGATAACCATTTCAACAATGCTGTAGTCACAACCCAGGTGAGTCAAGTCTATGCTGATTAGTGAATGACCAGTGTCATGGAAGCGAAAGCTGGTCTGGAAATATTCGCTACAGGCTGCCAACATGCATCTAAAATAGATTCAAAGCTTCTACAGATAATTTATAAAGTATCTGAAAGTTCATCACACTTAGTGCTAATGGGATGATTGAGTGCTCATTACTAAAGTATAATTCTAAGTCATTACTATACTATCACTCTATGTCATTACTATATTATAACTCTAAGTCATTCCTATACTAATTCTGTAGTATATTTCTAAGTCAGCACTATAGACTATAGTATAATAATTATAAGTTAGTCCTATGATAATTCTGTAGAATAATTCTAAAACAGTACTATGCTAATTCTAAGTCAATACAATAGTATATTTTTAAGTCAGTACCGGTACTATACTAATTCTAAGTCAGTACCGGTGCTACAGTATAATTCTAAGCATACATCAATAAACAAATTTTAAAAATGAGATTTAAAACAACTAGGTCAAAAAACATAATTATGTAAACTGAAGTGCAAAGAGGAACCACCTACTTGTGAGCTTTTATTTCAAGTCCAGAAACAAACAAAGTGAAATCACAAAATTCTCCTTGCTCTTGCATTGACGTCAGCTTTAAAAGAAGGTTGGCATTGGCATCAGGACTTATCTGAATAATCATTTTATTACTCCTCTCATCAGCTGTGCAGATTAAAACATTAACAGATATTTCAACCTACTACTACACGCCATGCTGACAATATAAATGGAATATCCTCAGTGCCGCATTCTGGTGTAAGGAAAGTACCAATAATATTATTAAAATTCAACCCCAGATCATCGAAATGCTTGCCTTGGTACAAGTGTCTTATAATGATTCTTCCACCATCTTTTATTTTATCCTAACTTAAGAAGTTGCCAAGTCATCATCTGTTATAGTCGACATTGTTATACCTTTTATGTAACACTTGCCTTAATTCCTTTTTCTCTATCAATTTTTTAATTAAATTAATTGGTTCAAAAGAAACAATGTGTGGATAGAATCAAAAAATAAATTTGACCTTTGCATGAATTTGTATTGCATCAATGATTTTACAACCGGCCACAATGTCAACTTTTTCATGAAACAAAATCTTTATTTATCCAACAAGTTATTTATTGGAAGTAATAATGTTACTTCACACTCAGCGCCTACTCATTTTTAAAAGAATGTGTTTTTTTGTGTGGTTTTATGTCAGCCCACTAGATGCCAACATTTTACAGTTTCCTCTTGGATTAGACAGACTTTTGAAAATCTTTCATCCAATGTGAACACAAAAAAATCTAAAGTATTTCTCTAGAGGGCATAAATAACAGCCATCTAATACCGGTACCATAAAAGTGATCTCCTTTAAAGACAATAATGAGTACTTAATTAGTGTTCATTTAGATTGGGTAACTGCTTGGGGATCATGCTGGGAACCCAAAACAATGAATTTGTAGGCTATATCTTTCGGTCCTAACTTTAATGGAAATAATTCACTCTGATCGAGCTGATCTTCAATATAGTATAGGCTATGTGATCAAGAGGGTGGGTATCCTCCAAAATTGTATTATTATTAGTTTTACAAAAGCATTTTTCTTCAAATAGTTCTTCAAGTGAAGGATTTTTAGTTTTTGTATATTTTAATTAATTTAGGCCTATTACTATCGGTACTAAAAATTACCCACTTTCTGATTAGTCTTCTATTTTAATTTTATAAGGTTTGATGTCAGACTGAGTCAGACAATGTGAACTCCCACACCAGCATGTAATACCTAACTTAAGTCTAAGATTGTAAGGCTTCCAATTGTTGCACTTTTTAATTATACTCTCTATATACTAACTATATTAATTACTATATATTATATACTATTATCTATACCATACGTCCAAAACTGCTTCTTTAGGCCCACTTTTACTACTACTACTTCTACTACTAAACTAATTTTAACATTGTGAGTGCATTACTATCATTGAGTATCATGTTTGACCACAGTCCACGGCTAAATAAACAGCTTGTTTATACTACTACTACGATACATTACTATTACCGGCCGTTACCATTTATTGGATATTGGCATTGCGACTTACTTAAACAAATGTATTTAAGTTAAAGTTAAAGTGTACTACTATGTCGTATTAGTAATTCTACGTTTGAGTATGACTTTGCGCTAGCACTAATTACTACTAGTCACTACTACTACTACTAGAAGAACTATTATTAACTATACTACTAAAAATTAAAAACTACTCTACAAAGTAAGTGAGTAAGGCAAAGTTAAGTACCTGTTGAAAGTGAAAGTTGGTCAAGTTTCAATAAAATAAATTGTTGCTACGGGACGGTAGGCTGGTGGGTCTACATTTATTATTTCGTATCATTTAAAGAAAACTTTATTAATTCATAAACTGAGCCCCTTGATGTTACCAAAGTCTGAATTTGTCAAAATTAACACTGTGTTATATAAGGTGCCGGTACTGCTACTACTATACTATAATAGTAATCTTAAATTTTAATATGTAGACTATGTATCTAAGATAAATATGTATGCAGTTAATATTCCGAGTTGTGACATTTAATTCGAAAAGTTCGCATTTTTAACAATTTGGTGCTTGTAATATTAATACTGCTCTTTTATTCATTAAATTTTAATTTCGGAAAGGGGGGGGGGGGGGGGGGGATAATAATAATTTAAAACATTTCTTTCATCGCACATGTACTTCCACAAATAATTCTTTTTTTAATAAATAAATTTTATTAATTTTGTTTTTTTAAATATGGAATTGAACCCCTAAGCCTAAAGAAAGTAATTACTAATTAAAACTTAAATTTTAAATTGCTTGAAAGTTGGCATGATTTAAAAATTAATTGAATGGGGTAATTGGTCATTGATAAGGTCAATGTATTTAAAGTTTAATTACATGTAGTACTAAATATAACAGATTCTGGAAAGCCCACCAGATATGGCGGGTACCGGGTAAATAAAATACCCGGGGCGGACCAAAATCAGGACCTACTGCCTTGTAGGAAGTGGAGGGATCCACAAAGGCTGGGGACCAATACAACGGCAGCTACCATGAGAGCTGCAAGTGGCACCCCCCCCCCCCCCCCCCCCCCACGGTTGCGCCCAAGGCTGACGACAATGTCACGTAAAACAAATCTAATGTTACGAAAAATTAATCACAGACGAAAAAAACCGACTGATGTTTGTGGAATTTGACCTCTGCCTGCACAAGGACATGATCTATGGCATGTTATGTGCCTACTCAGAGCGGGAGCGACGGCCCGCCTCATTGAAGAGTAGATATAATCACTGTTGCTGCACTGCAGGAAATAAGGATGGAAAGACTTGGATATTCTAAGTTCTGGGGAATATACAATATCCTACAGAGGAAACAAAACAAACACCTTAAGCACGGGGTACGCAGTCAAAAGAGAGACTGTAGATGAAAATGCAGTCACTTTGTTCAAACCCGTGAGTCAAAGACAATGCTCCAAATGTTAGCCATCACGTTGATGTGCGCACAAGCTCCAGCGAAAGATGCAGATGATAACGCGACGGAAACGTTTTATGAAACCGTGGAAACAATTATATTTGATGAGGCACGACCCCATTATACCAAAATAGTCCTTGGAGATTTCAGTGTGACAATCAGAAAACAACCTGCTGCTTACAGACCAATTATTGGGAAGGAAAGTCTGCATGACGAGAGCAATGACAACGGAACACGTCTAACACTACTTACAGACTTCACTGCAGGAAGGGGAATGACGATCAGCAACACTATATTCCAACACAAACAAATACATAAAGCGACATGGATATCACCATATGGACTTAGCAAACATGGCTATCACCAAACGGAAATACCAGAAATGGATATCAGCAGATGGATTTACTAGACATGGATATCACCAGATGGATTTACCCTTAATCAAAATGATCACGTTATTTTTATCATTGACCGGAGGCACGGCTCAGACATATAAGATTTACGAAGTTGTAGAGGGACAGACATAGACTCAGACATATAAGATGTACGAGGCTTTAGAGGGGCAGATATAGACAAAGACATATAAGTATTTATAAGATGTACGAAGCTTTAGAGGGGCAGACATAGACTCATTTGTGTCTATTGCCTCAAGCCTTCAAACCCCCAGCGCATAATTCCCTCACAAAGTGACACTGGAAATCATTGAAATGTCCTCATCAACACCAGGCACAGAAACATTGCAAATCCCATCTACATGCATAGGAGCCAAAATAATCAATAAATTGATCGTGGGCCCTTAATATATAGAAGAAGGCATATAAGATGTACGAAGTTTTAGGGGGGGGGGTAGAGGTAGACTCATGCCATTTACTTGTGAATCATGCCATTTACTTGTAAAAATAAAATGTAATCAAATAATTTTTAACATACAAAATAAACGCGAGAAAAGAGAAAAAAAATTACAATAGCCGGAAGTTAAGTGGGGAACGCATCAACAGACGATTCAAACTCAACTAGAATTATCTAATTGGGAAACAGCCAGCAACATCACTATAAATGTGAATTCGTGGGCGGGGGGGGGGGGTGAAGCAACTTGTTACAAGTGTAACAGGGTAAAAATTGTATTTAAGCAGAGAGGGATAAGATCAGGGTGAAGAGGGATAAGATCAGGGTGAAGAAAGAAGCAAGGCTCGGCTAATGATGTTGCAAAGCAGACAAGAAGAACACGACAAATATTTAGTGAAACAAGAAAAGTGGCTACCAAAATATGTAGGAAAAATTGATTGGGAAAAGTAAAAAAAATAGCAGAGATATAAGAGTTGGCAAAAGAAAGAGATGTGAAGGGAATGTACATGAATATAAAGCAGGAAAAGAACTGTCTACTGCTTTCATGCAAAGTCACGCATCTCTTAAAGTATGGAAGGAGAACTGTTCACAGAGAGCAGTAGGGTACTAGAGAGCAGTAGGGTACTAGAGAGCAGTAGGGTACTAGAGAGCAGTATACAAGAGAGCAGAAGCGTACTAGAGAGATGGGTGAAACACTTTAAAGGGATGCTAAATGGCTCAGGTAGAGGAGACAATCAGGATTACGATCTACAACAAGTGTGACTGGACCCATTGGTCAGCCAACCAACACTGAATGACCGGACCCATTGGTCAGCCAGCCAACACTGAATGACCGGACCCATTGGTCAGCCAACCACCACTGAATGACCGGACCCATTGGTCAGCCAGCCAACACTGAATGACCGGACCCATTGGTCAGCCAACCAACACTGAATGACCGGACCCATTGGTCAGCCAGCCAATGACCGGACTCATTGCTCAGTCAACCAACACTGAATAAAATGAAAGATGTGATATTTACCATGAAAAATAACAAAGCCCCAGGAATAGACCTTATCACTGCAGAACTGATAGCACTTGGCAAATATGAACTGCATGGGCAAATACATGACCTTATATCTAGAATCTGGCAGGAGGGAGAAATGCCAAACCAGTGGCGTACTGGTAAAGTACTCAAAATCCCAATTCACAAGAAGGGATCTAAGCTGGATTGCTCAAGTTATAGAGGAATCTCCTTACATAATGTCACTAACAAAATTCTCACAGAATTAATAGCAAGAAAACTGGAGAGGTCTGGTGAAGAGATCCTAGGGGACTATCTATGTGGAATCTGTCAGATAATAGTTTAACAATCAGTTGTACCCTGGAGCGATGCTACGAATACAACATCGACATACACCAACTGAAAATGTGGACTACAAAACAGCCTTTGATAGTGTCGAAAGGAAATACATGTATGATGCTCTATCGTCTACAGCAGCCATGCACAACATACGGCCCGCCACGATCTACTTTGCAGCTCGCGAAGTAACGAAATATTCTTTATTATTATTGTAATTATTTTCTTAATAGTCCTGCCCCCCCCCCCCCCCCCCCCACCATTTTTTTTTTTTTAATTTTTTTTTTTAAAAGCCCTCCCCCCCCCCCCCGGGCACAAGTTTTGTTTTCATAAAGTGTTAAGGCCCGCGTTACATTTCGAGTTGTGCAGACATGCTCTACAGGAACTTGGAGTCCCTCCTAACAAACTTATCCGACTAATACATATGACGATAGCTAATCCAAAAGTCGAATAAAGTACAGATAGAGTATTCGATGGTAGTTTCCGACTAATCATGGCCTCAGTCAAGGAGACTCGATATCACGAATCCTATTCAACATCACATTAGAAAAAAGTCACGAGAAACACACTTGTGAACACCAGTGGAACCATTACAAACGTTAGAAACAGTACCGGTACAGAACCACAACCGCCAGGAGCTTAAAAATGCCAACTATTGCAGAACCTGGCATATGCGGACGACATAGCCCTACTGGGCAGAAAATGCCTCGGTTAAAGCTGGACTTGTGGTAAATGAAGCGAAGACAAAAATATATATGAGAATCCTATTCTCACGAAACCCGCACACTGATGACAGCAGCAATATAATCAATAACACCTTTGAGCGAGTGACTACTTTCAAATATATCTAGGCGTGATCTATGAAGGATCACAATGAAACAATTTCGGAGTTGAAAGAAAGGATAACTGCTGGAACCCGTTTTTATTCCAGCCTACAAAAGCTGCTAAGTAGCAAAAGCCACTAAATGAGACCAAAGGAGGTAATATGTTCCATTATCGTAAGACCACTTGTAATTTACGCAAGTGAGACTTGGTTTCTTACCAGAAAAGCGAAGTACCAGCTCACCACATTGGGAAAGGGGGAGGGGGGGTGAAAATCCTCAGGAGAATATACGGTATGGTGATAGACAATGATGGATGGAGAATGGGTACAAACCAAGAGATATATCAGCTGTACAAAGACCCACCCATAGTAGCAACAATAAAAAAAAGACATTCTGCTTTGGACAGGACACCTTGATATAAGGATGCCGGATTGTAGAGCAGCAAAAAGTGATCCACAGGCAGAAACCAAGGTGCAGACGGGTCACCAGTTGAACAAGACTGAGATGGATCGACGATGTAGAGAGGGACTTAACACCAGTTGGGGATACGCGCATGGAAGCGGAAAGCCATGGATCGATCCGAATGGAAGGATGTGGTGGAGCAGGCAGGGCCCTATGTAGGGTGTATTGCCACTGATGATAAGTCTAAGGGTCCACCCATAAATGACGACACGAAAATTTTGCAGATTTTTTACAACCTCCCTCCAATTTAACTTCATACACCTCCGCACCCCCCCCCCCCCCCAAAAAACCCCCCCCCCCCCCATAAAAATCTCTCTGTCCCCTAGTGTCCTTCACAAACCATTAAAAATGTCCCCGACCATGAATACCGCATTATTGCACCTGTGTCAGAAACATTTCCCTAGAACAGTGGTTCTTATCCAGGGGTGAAAACACCGCCTTTGGTGCGAAAAACTCAGAAAATTGTAAGTGCTGCCATCACTAGTTGTTGCTGCCTTTAAATAAATAATTGTACGCATTTTTGCAGTAGTTTTCTGATGAATTTTGTTTGCACAATACTTGTATAGGTATTTTTTTCCCTTGTTTCTAGAAAGTTAATTAAAGAAATAAAACTACAATAACTAAATTGTTTTCATATTAATAAATGTATTACAATATAATTCTTTTTTTACGAAAAGTGTGTGTGAGGGGGGGGGGGGTTGCTGGAAATGATTTGAAATTGAGAAGCGGCGCAGTGCTGTAAAAAGGTATCACTGCAATAGAACAGTTACCTTAAGACCCCAGGTACATGGCATCTAATCTAATGTTCCATCTCACTTCACGTGTTAGCACTAACTCTACGACTCCCGTCTTCACATTTCCAAATATATTATCTCGACTGTCAGTGTCCGATTCTCCTCCTCCGTTGTGGTCTATAAATGGATAACAGCCACATTATATAATTTTCCATTGCCCCCCGCCCCCCCCTCTTTTCCAAATAATATTATATAACATTTCTCGCAACCAAGCCCCCATCCAAAAACAAACAAAGAGCCAGAATTTTTTTTTTTTTTTTTTTTACAAAA